TCTTATTTCGATCCATTATTTTATTATTTCTGAATATTCAGAGTTCCGGACGTGCTTTCCCACAGACTGCCCCCTCTTTTCCCGGGCCCGGACAGTATGATCTAAATATGGACCATTGGGAACAATTGGTTCAATCCGGTAAAGTGAGGGATATGATTCAGAAGGGACGAGTACTGGAGATACCTCGCTTTGCCGACAAGGTTGTGAAAGAGGCTATCAAGCACGTAAGTTTTATACAATTTTCCACTGATATTGGTTAACTTGGCCATCTAGAATAAACAAGGATTTCTCTGTATAGTGTCTAGTTGCGTGTTTTCGACAATTGAGACACCTTCGTACCAGAGGATAGCTGGGATTGCCTTACTATGCTTGACAGACATATTAGATAAAGTGGTTAATTATATACCTACTTATGACCACCTAGTTTTTAGTGAATCGTTAGAATAAGGGCGAACTAGCTACTCTTTACTGGTCGTCCGAATCCAGCTGAGCTGGAGGATACACCTAGGTCCCCTGCCGAATCCACATCGGTATTTTGCCACTGCAAGGCAAGATTTCAGACACAGAGTTTTATATCACAGGTGATAATAACGAGGGTTGACATCAGGTACGGTGTACAGCCCCAAAACAAACAAAAACTCTCAGGAGTGGCTAAATCTGCATCAAATGACTTCATTGAAATGTATCATAAAAGTGCACCAACTCTGCTAGACTCAATTTTAAACTGCACTTTAGCACAGGTGATATCTATTTACTAACTTTATGCCATTTTTTTCCAGAAATTTCCCGGCCCTGGAAGTTATGACAGCAAGAGCCTCTTTGAATTGGCCCCTAAGAAGCGCAATTTCGATGGCCACGAAATTGAAAATCCTCCTTTCAACGTTCAGGAAAAGGTACATGAGACACCCCCTCTTTTGTGTATCACCAGAATATTAAATTCTTCACTGTATCAGGCAGCAAAATTGCTTTAATATATGCACCAACTTTTATTTGTCAGCGCTTCGACGTGCGGCCTCATTCTGTGCCTGGACCAGGCACATATGACGATCCACGAACATCCAATCGAGGGATCAAACGACCTGAATTTGTAAAACGTCATCCTTTCAATTTGAGTGCAACCAGA